AACATATTAGTCTTGAGTAAGTAGTGTTCTAGGACATATTAATATATTAATATATTAATATGTCCTAGAACACTACTCTATTTATAATATTAGTAGGATTCTGCATAGGCGTATCAACACCTCTAATATGATTTTCTATCCACTTTAGTCTTCTATTAACATTTGTGATAAGATAAGTTGTTGTCATATCTAAATTATTTTTTGGGATTTTTTTATCTATGAGAATCTGAATTCTTGCCTTGAGATGTTCTACCTTATTTTCAAGCTCTATGATTCAGCCATCTTGAATAAACCCAACCTCATCTTTGAATTTTTTATTTTATTATAAGATCCTAAGCTGTTTTCGCAAATCAGATATTTCTAATTTAAATTTTTCTATCACTTTCTCATAGATTATAATAGTATTATCCTGTAATGAAATAGTTCAATAACATTGCTCAAGCTACTTTACAAGGGATCAAATTTTTTTTCTCATAACTCTTATTAATAGAAATCTCATCTCAAAACTTATTATGAAACTCCTGATTTGTATCTAAAAACTATGAATATGCTGAATAAAACATGGTATTTCATCCTAATTTATAGTATCATTATAATAATTCTACCTTGAGAATGAGCTAACCACAAATTGTGATAGATCCTGATGAGGCACAGAGAATTGAAAAAAATCTCATATTGCATAATATATATTATCGCTTAACTGAGTATTATTCTAATTCTAAATCCTTACTAAAAACGCTTAAAGCAAGTGATGCATGTAAAAAAGAGGGGCATCGATTTCGCCTAAGTGAATGCAAAACTTTTTTAGAAAATCAGGAGTCATACCAAATCAATAAAACCTCTCTAAAATACATTCTTAAAGCTAGCTACAGATGAATAATATACCCTAATTGTGTATACCAGTGCAATATACTGTTTCTCACTCATGATCATTATAGAGATAAAAAATATAAAGCAGTACTTAATATTATAGACTGAGCCTTCAGATACAAGACTTCAGTTCTGTTCACATCTAAAAATAGTTCAGAAGTTGCTAGAACGTTCAGAAAAATTTATAATGATCCTAATAATCCTCTTACCTATTCTAAATTACTTCAAACAGATAATGGATGAGAATGGATAGGTGAGACTTCTCAACTAATGCAAGAGCATAATGTTACAATTTGAGTGATCAGTTTATATTCCCATTAAGGTCTTGCATTTGTAAAGCGTTTCAATCAAACACTCTTGAAGATTCTATACAAAATCCAGTATATTATTGAATCAATATCTTCTGATCCTAAACTAATAAGAGCATAGGTTAGATTTCTACTGGTAGTTATTAATTATTTAAATAACTATTTTACGTGTTTTATTCAAAAATCAGAATTAGAAAAATGGGACTTGAACTTGTGAAAGCAATTGCTTTAGAATGAGTCGAATCTAGACCATCTACAAAATATAAGTGCCTAGTTGAAAAGGATAAAATACCATTAAAGAAAGGTGATACTGTCCACTACTTACTTACTAATGCAGAATAGAAAGGAGGTATAAAAAATCAAAGGCAGGCAACTGATCTCATCTTTAGTTCGTCTTTATAAAATCTGAAAAGTGGTTGTCATAAAGAATGAACCAGCTTTATATTATCTCAAAGGTAATAAATTTACACTAAAGTGGGGGTTTGTGCGAAAAGAACTCATGTTAATAGCTGATCTAGAAAAAGTTGGGTATCCGTCCCAAAGCATATTATCTATGCATATTACTTATAGTTTTCAAAGGGAACTAGAAGATCTGACGAAGGACTAGAATTAAGCTATTGATTATACTAGAAGACGTGGCGATCAATGCTTAGGAAGAACTGGTCGAATAAATGGACATGATATCTATCTCTGGTCTTATGAAAATGGTGCATACCAGTGGGAGTATCTACTAAAATATATCATGAAAAAATTTGATTGGTGCCCACTATATTATCATATTATCGAAAGAAATGTATAATATATTTTTAAGGATCTATTAGGTAAGAAATTCCCTTTCTGCAGACCATCATTTTTGGATGAGATGCAACTCAATGAATATAATGAGGAATTACGTCTTGCATTCAAATACCATAGCCTTTAACACTATCATCACAACAGTCTATACTATCGGAAGAGCGAAAGTTTAGAAATTCAGAAAATGCGTGATCAGAAAAAGTGGGATATTTGCAAGAAGCAAAATGTATGCCTTATTGAAATGCCTCATACAGCAGATTTATATCTGTTTATTAGATATACATTAATTGAGAAAGGATTCTTAGATAAAGTGAAGGGATAAAAAGGGAAGACCAATAAATCAGTCTGATAATTTTTTAATATATTATTATTAATAATTAGCTTACCATAAAAATAAAAAAACTCGAGTCATTTGATAGGCTTGTATACTATATTAATGAGATTAAGGATGCCAAAAAATATAATGGACATTTAAGTGTCTCCCAGTAGCTTTTCACTTTACTAATCTATAGTTGTACTAATTCAGGAAAAACTAATGAGGTTCTCAATCTCATGCTTGGAAATAAGCTTTATCGAATGTTTAATGGGAAGAAAAGAGAGACGTGTTATATCAAGAATAATGATTTACTATTGATTGGCCACAATCTTAAGGAGCTGAAATATATGTACCTCAAATTGGCATATCAGATAATTGCAAATAGTCTAAAGCCCTATCGTAAAAATATTACATTCTGAGCTTTGAAGCCTAATAAAATCCCTAAGGTGGATTCGTTTTCTCCAGACAGGGATACAGTACCCATATTCGAAGATGTATGTGTTGACCTGAAAAAAGTCAGGAGAAGATCATCACTTATTTTGTTGAGGGTGACATTATAACATCAGTTTGATATATGGGAGTGTTTCTAGGAAAATCAGGTTCTGAGAAATTTTTGACTAAAATTAAAAGCTTAATACATTTTAATCTAATTACATCAAAAACTAAAATGCAATAAAAATCTCAATTTTGCTAAAAAATTCCTGGAACCTGATTTTCCTAGCAATCTACTTATATATATCCCAGAGTTACTTTGACTACCCAATGATAATACGAAAAATCTCACACATGTTTGCCTATTTAATGGGTCAAGCACTACAGATGTAGAATTTGACTTTATAGATGCCCGCTTTTTTTCCATCTCTTCTACTTGCATCTTTAGATTATCAATTTCGCATCATAATTTTTTATTTGCATTAATCCGCTCCCTATATTCCTTTTCTATATCTAGCATAAATTTCTCAAAAGTTTGTCTATTATAATTGAGCAGGTGCTGAGATAGCACTTTAAGCTCATTCATCACCTGACGATTATTCTCTTCTTTATGATCACAAGTGATATTATCAGTTTGAGACTCATTATCTGGTATTTTTTTAAATGATGTTGGGCACTCCAGCCAACTTTGAGTTCATCTCTGACGCATTAATCTTTTCTAATATCTAATAGCTTCATGTTTTAAAAATGACTCTACAATTGAATTAATTTCACTGGCCTCTTTCTCAGATAATGGGTTACGTTTCCGTAATGTAAGACGAATCCATGTCTCATTTATTAGGAAAGCTAGTAATTTTGCTAGTAAGTCAGAATATGCCTGGTTAAATGCCATTATATATTTATACATTGCACAAAAAAAATATGGAATTTCATGGAATTTCAAAAAATAATATTACATTGGTGGTATCCCCGCATTAGAGCTTTTATTAACAGCTAAGATTTTACGCGTCAATATCGAGATACGTCTGGAATCTACTATGTGGAAAAATTAACTCCAATCAAATCACGTGCGCATTATAATTTGTAACGCTGATCACTTTTGTTAAGAAAAAAATCTGTAAAATAGCAAAGCAATGAATTCAATTGATATAACTTTTTTTATTGATCTGATGTAAAAACGCCTTGCCAGGTATAAAGCATATGCATATTAATAATCACATTTTTATTATCAGAGATTCATTATTCACATTTTCACATCACATCCGCACACAAAATATATAAGACTATGTGAGTAAACTAATAAATTTTTTGATTAAATGAGCTAAATAACACAAGATTTTTTTTTTGCAAATTGCTTGGCAAACAGAAAAAAAATATACCAGAAACACCCATAGTAAAATGGACAAATTCTATGACAATCACGTGTCCTTTTCATAAGATTATTGAATTAGGGTGTATCAAGGATATCACGTTTGAACATTGTCTTTACTGACAGTAAATTTGGATTGCAGAGTTTATCATACAAAATATTAAAGGATTTTTGAAAATTTCTCATATGCTCAGAAGTATTTTAATTTGATCAATGAAGGATAGCATTTCTTTTAACGATGCTGGAACTGAAACTTGGCCAATGTGAACTATGACATAAATTCCTTCAGCAAGATCGATCATATAAAAATTGATTGTATAATCTATAATGAAGTGCCAAAAGGGGTTAAAGGAAATTTCATGTGTAAAAAAACACTTTATATTATTTTGCTTACCAATACATTGAAAGCCAATTACATTAATATCGGCACCTTTCTCTATTGCGAAGTCCATGCAGTCTTTCATAAAGACGCCAAGTCAGATTAGGTTACAACAGTTTTTATATATATTGGTTTTTTGTGATGGAGGACTAACCTCTCCTATGAAAATATTGGCGACTGTTTGAAATTAGTGAACAATTGAGACCACAAAATCAGGTTACTTAGTTCATCTCCAAACTTTCTTGTCTTACTTTCGTTCAAAGCTGTGTTTGGCCACTGGACAATGTGTTTATTAGTATCATGAAATGTACCTTTCATTATATAGTCCAAATAATTTGTGATAAGTGTGATCTCGCTAGGTTCATTTCTAAGCTTATTACTAAGCAACATTTTCAGGCCTTTCAATATCACAGAAACCCAAGTTTTCATCCAAAATTTCGTCATTTGAAAGCTCTGTTAATAATAATTTTATGGCTTTGTGACGTAACTTCCTAGTCACTTGCTTAATCACTTTTCTAAATTTTGACTCACACTCTAAACTTAATTCTATTTGTTGTGCTGAAGCGATTTGTTGGTGAACTTCATTGAGTAAAAGAGAACTAAATATATTGATCATCGTATTTGAATGAGAACCTGAGGCAAGCAGAAAAATTGAAGACAGTGGCAATATTTTGTGTATATTTGATTCAACAAATAGACCTTCAGTCTTTGCAATCTTTACTGATTCATTTTGATATTTCCGGAATAACTGAGAAACATTGGTATCTCCTATCTTAAGATCATTTTCTGGATTCCCATCCTTAAAGCAAAGTTCATTTACATCATTAATTATTATGACACCATCCTCATCCTTATCTTCGTCTTCAGAGTTATCCATTGGCAATAGATGTAATGTTGGACTGCCTGGGGAAGGCGTAGTGTATCTACATTGCTCCTTTGATAAATATCCTTCATTGTAATTAATATTTCCTTTTCCTCTTAAATTATATAGTCTGTTATTCGCAACTGATTCATTCTAGGTGATATACGAATAAATTAGTATCTCAGAACTGTGCGACAGCGGAATATTATTTGTGCTTTTTTACCTTATTAACATCCTCTGCTTCTTTTTCTTGTTCATCAATTCTGGATTTTTTTGCTTCATTCCTTTCCAAAAAATTTAACTGAGACTTATAAACCATCTTCAAAGTACCGTTTAAATGTTCGTTTTCCGTTTGCAAAAAATTCACAATACCTTCAGCCTGAAAATTTATTAGAATTCATTATTTGCTTCAAACTTATGATCCTGAAAGTTTAACCACGCGTTACCTTGACTATTTTTCGTTTTTTATCTAATGTATTGAGTTTTTGGTCGAATTTTTATTTTCCCAGAAATCTTTCACTTCCTCCGACGTTTTCTCATTCTTGTCAAAAAAAATCAATTGTAAAATATATGTTCTGATACTTAATACTAATGAAGTTTACCTCTAAACTTAACCCTAACTAACTCTAACAAATATGGTGTATCTATAACGGAGCCGAAGCCTTTCATATATGTAGCAAAAGCTAGTATACTAGCTAGTAGAGTACCATTGCATTCTCAATGGAGCCAAAGCCTTCATATACATGATCGAAGCTAGTATACTAGTTGAGAATATGATACAATGCTCACGTGTTAGGATTCCGCAGGCCAAAGCTATTGGGCAACAAAACGAACGTCTACACTATGAACTATAATAAAAAGCTAACTTACCGCAAACTTTCCAAAGCTTCTTCGACCGTTTTATATTGTTCATCCATTTCTTTATAGCTTTTTTTATTTTGGTAATTTCTAAAACGTATTTACTTTGAATCTTATCTTTTTGGAGTAAATCTTTTGTTGTTTGTGAGAGATAAATTAAATGTGAACAACAATGGCTTCGAAATCGAACTCCAATATGCTGTAATTTTAACGAATATAATGAGAATAATGATTCCTTAGATAAGTGATACACCAATATTTACCTGGTTCTTTTAGTTTTTCACAACGTTTTCATTTAATTTTATTTTGAGAGTAAGGGTAATTCGTGTCAGTTTCACATTTTTATTTTATAGTTATATCTATTTAACTTTATTTATATACACATTTTTAAAATATGTATTATTTTATTTTATTTAAATTTATTTAATAAAACAAAAAATAAAAAAATTTTACGAAATTTTCTAATTCTAATGTTAAAATAAGCATAATATATATTTAATTTTAAAAATTAAAATAAAAATTATAGTTAATTTTTTTAATAAAAAAAATTAAATGCTCTTTTAATTTAATCTTTTTTATTAGCAGTATCAGTTCTAGTATTAGAAGTAGTTATAATTATTCCAAAAGAATAAGGTTTGATTCTAGAATTTTTAAGAAATGAATTCTAGTTGAATCTATTATGCTAGCATTATTCGACTTCTCTTAATCAGAGAGTCATACCTAAGGTTACTTGTCTAAACTCATTTTGGATTTGGCAAAATATCTAAACTATAGTTTTGCTAATTTTTTACTAAGGTTTTGATATAGTTTCACATTTTTATAAGCTTTGATATAATTTTATTTTTTTAGAATTTCGCAGATTTTTTAATAAAGTTTATAATATAATTTCACTAAATTTTACCTTTTTCTATTTAGATGACTTACAAAACCTCTAGATTTGTCTAGCAATCTTAGTCACACCTTACAAGATACAATTGGATTTATTATTACTACTACTACTATTACCTTGTAATCATAATAGATTTAAACTGTTTTTTTTATTGTTAACATTATTACAGGTGATATTAGTAATATATCTTCAAGCTTAATTATATATTTTTAGGTATCCTTTTCTTTTGTGTAATCTCAATATATATAGGGATTCATAAGCAATCAAGCTTACTAACATAACTATAATTAACCTCATTATTGTTTAATTAATTGCATTTATTTTATTTATTAGGTATCTCAAATCTAGATTATAGATCACATCTGCCTAAATCTTTTGAGATTTTCTTTCTTCTAAATTTTCTTTAACATAGAATTTTAAATAGTATTTTCTATTAATATTTTTGATAGTCTTAGTTGTAATTCTAATTATTATAAAATTAAGTTTAATGTCAAAATTCAGATTTTTTAAAATTTTAATAAATGTAACATTTATCTTAAAAAAAGTAGGAAAGATAGTTAATTTTTATAAAAATTAAGATAAAAAATAAAATAAAATAAAAATAAATTATTATATTTACTAAATATCACCTTATATATGCAATAAACTTGTTTTTTAAAAAATCACATCTCCTGTATTAAACTCTTTGATTTAGTTTTAATATTTTAATCTGAAAAAATAAACGCTTTGATTCTTAAATAAATTATTTTTGTTGCATTATTATCTAATAATATTGATACTGCTGTAATCTTTTTGATAATGAAGTCCTATGTAAGACATTTTATAGATTTGTGAACATAAGCAATAGTAAAAAGTTTTATAGATATATTTTTTTAACTAAAAAATAAAGATAATTAATTAATTTAACAAGTAATCAAAATAATTTTCCTTTTTATATAAACATAAATTTTACCTATTTTAAATTACTAATTTTCTTTTTTTTTCCATTAATAAAAAATTCAAGTCTGATCAAAGCCTATTCACTATAATATAATTTATTTCTTCTTTCTTACATAATATAAAAATTTAACTCTACAATTGATATAAAATTTAACTCCATAAATATTTTGAAAATAAAATAAAATCAAGTTTAATTAGAACAGTTTATTAAAATTTAACTTTACAAATATTTCATATAAAAATAAAATAAAAACTAAGCATAGTAAAAACAGTTTATAATTTGCCTTTGCTATAGTTCTTTTTTTGGTAAAAGAATTAATTATTTATACTTATCTTTATTTATATTACCGTATTCTGCTGATTTTAAGTACCATCTAATTTTAAGCACCACTCTAACTTTGAATAAAAATGACTTAAAGAATGAAAATAAGCATCACCTAAAACTTAAAATAAATTTATTTAACAATTCAAAATGAAGATTTTATTTATATCAATAGATATATATTTATTTTGAAAAATCTATTCATTAAACTCATCAGTTGAATATTTATCAGTCGAATTATTATCTATATTTAATATTTCCCTTTCATCATTATCATCTTTTTCAGTTTCATCTTGCCCAAATAAATCATCTTCTGACCCATCTATTGCATTATTAATACTATACTTTTTAAATAATTTTACAATCATTTCTCTTAGAATTTCTGTCTAGGCTTCAAGAACCCACTTACAAATAATACTATAATCAGATTTTTTTAAATTTCTACCTTTAGTAAGGTAAACTGACCTGAACTCATCCAAGCATTTCACTTTTCACGAAATCTATCTTTAAATGGCTTATTAAGACAAATATCAAGTAGTTGAACAATAGAGGTAAGATTACCAGAAATAATTGCTAAATCAGTATTTACATTTGATGCAATATTTTTGATAAAATTTGTTTTGTGACCTTTAAAACTATTCATAATAAGAAACGCCTTTTTTTGACTAACTCCATTTCCTCCAGGTCTTTTTTTTCAAATTTTATCAAACTAAATTTTCATTTCAGATTCATCTATCCATCCTTTTAGATGCATTAATATAATAATTTCAGAAGGTAAATTTTTTGGTACTTTTTTATCTTTAAAAATAATGATTAGTGGTAGTTTGTACCATCTGCAAGAACTGTAAGAACACATGCAAACTGATTTTTCTCATTTCCAGTTGTTCAGATTTGAACAGTTTTTGCATCATGTTCTTCAATAATCAAACTTCCAATCATATCAAAAAAAATAGGAGTTTCATTCATATTTCCAATCTCAAAAAGTTTATACCCAAACTTTTTTCATTTTTCAATAATATATCATTAAAATTCTAAAAGTTTTTCATTAAAGTGAATAGGAAGCTTTTGATCAATTTTTGTTTTATATCATAAAGAAAATCTGTTTCTTTTAAGAAAATAATAAAACTAATAATCTGAAGCTAAAAAATTTTTACCATTCAGATAAGTATTAGCAAATTGTTTTGCTAAAAGTTCTTTCATATAAAATTTAACCATTTTAGGAGTAACAGCAATTCCATCTCTTCGAAATTCCAAAAGCCATATTTTTAAATTAGCTTCAACCTTAGGATAATGTACTTTTCTTCTAGCATCAACTCGTCAATTTTTGCCTTTTGTAGATTTAAGTTTTTCTTCTTTTTTTTTTAATGAGAAATCATTAAATGATCAATAGTAAAATAACGAGAAGCAGCCCTTAAACTATGTAGTTTTGCATATTGCAAAACCTCAAGCTTTTCTAAAGTGAAATAAGAAGAATGTTGAAATTTAGGCATTAAGACAAAAAAAAGAAAGTAACCAGTAAGTTTACTAATACTAGTCATATTTATTTTGTGTAATGTTACAACAAAAATTATAACATTTATTTTTACAAAAGAAATTAAAAACATTTTTATTAAAATATTATTTACTTTTGTTAAATTTTTCAAATATTAAAACTTTTTTTTTAAAAAAAAAAGTCACAAATAATAAAGTAGTACATGAAACTTTCTGATTTTAAGCACCATCCTGAGTTTTAGTCTGATTTTCCCTTCAAAAATGTGATGCTTAAAATTGGCAGAATATGGTATATTTAAAATTAATTTATTTAAAAAAAAATTTAATATATTATGAAAAAATATAATAGAGATAAAGTTTTTTTATTGTCTATTTATGTTTAAATAAAATTATTAAATTAAAATATAGAACTAACTAAAAAAATAAATTTATTTTTATTATATAAATAAAAAGCTACCAAAGCTGAAAGCTAATGAAATGATAAGTCACTACAAAATAAATATATATGTTGTATGTCAAATATCAATTTGTATCAGCTACAGCTGATGTACATTAGATATCAATCGACACTTAACGTATATCTATTAATAATTGATTACTGACATACTTTAATTATTATCTGATATATTTAGTATAATTAGTTCTTTATTGTATTACAAATTAAATTTTATTCATAAAAAAAATTTTTGTGCATTATGTTTTATTTCATTATTATTTATATTTCTAATATCATAACTATTATAAAATGACTATAAATTTATTTTAATTTAAAAATAATTTGATAAATAACAATAATAATAAACAAAATTTTACTTACCTATTAAATTTTATTCACTTTTATTTTAATATTACTGACTACCATAACATTAACTTTCACAATTATTACCTATTTTTTTATAATAGCATTTTTTACTATTGCAATTTCTTTTACAATTACAAATTATACTTGAAGTTAATCCTATATTTTGAAATCACGCTACCTTTTTAATAGTAATTATATTTATAGATATTGAGTCAAGTTCTGAAAATTAGTTAAAACCAAAGAGATCAATTTTACCTAATGAATAGAAAATATTAATGATTCTAAATTGAGATTCTAACTGATAATTATTATTAATCTTTTTCAGAATTTTGCATAAAAATATAGGTTAGTTAGTGTCAAAATGATCAATTTTTAGAACAAAGATTCTTACTAAATTTCTAATTTCATAATCATTTGATCATTTTCTTTTTTGGTTCATCTGATTAGCCATTTTTTCAGTATAATTTTCAAGGTTTTGCCAAGCAGCATCTTTTAATATTTTATAGCTGGTAATTCCTTCTTATAATGAAATGTTTGTAATATTAATGAGAATAGAATCTATAGGAATAGGCTGATCTAATGCTACAATTTCTCTATTTTCTAAACGTATTACTTC